TCACTTTTCAAACTGTTGCCACAAAATATTAGAGTCCTGCATTATATTTGAAGAAATTAAATAATGAAAAATCTGCATAAATGATTGTCTATTTCTCGCATTGTGATAAAACAATGGTACATAGAGCCATCGAATTTTGAATGACGAAATCCTACTGCGAATAGGGGCATCTGAAATCCCAAATTTGGAATTTGTTTTATTATAGATTTTATATTTTGTAAAACTTAACGAATTTTTGATTTACAAAACTCAATGCTTTAAAAGCGAGAAATGGCGGCACCGTTATATAGAAAAAAAAAAATACTTTTTATCTCCAGCTCGCAAGACTGTGTATATCGGAAATTCTAAAGATATGCTTAATTTAACATTATTTTGCGATATTGCTCTTGAACTGAATTTTATGGTTTAAGTGCAAAGAAACATGATATTTAATAAATAAAGGTAACACTCAAAACGTTAAAAAAACGCCCCTTTGGACGTAATTTAAAATCTGAAAAATTTCAGATTTTTTTTTTATATGTATTTTTTTTTTCTTTTTTTCCCCGCACTAAAACATGACAAAGAAATTATTGTTATAAAGTTTATTTTCACTAACATGTTAATTCTTTGTTGCATCTTCTGTTTCTTAAAGACGGCCTTCCTTCAGTAAGGCCCTCCTAGACTCGTTGATACCATATTGTGGTAGGGGGATTATTCAGTTATGGTAAAGCACACGAGGGCTATCTGCCTAAAGTGAGGGATGCCTTCGTGGAGGACTTTCTAAGGGAAACTGGCTCGTATACACTTTACACGTGGGGAAAACCACGAAAACACCCATGCAGCAAGCCCGTTCGCGGGATTCGAACCTCGGACCGAACTACCAGTGTTCAGCGTCGTTACAGCTCGGCCGCTGGGGGTGGGCGCAAGTTTTAGTAGGAGCTTCTCATTTTTACATGAGGCGTAACATCACCTTTACACAAATAACCAACGTCCAAATGAGAAATCCGCTTGCAGTCTTCGTATTTGTACACAATGTGACCTGTTTTATGCGCATGGAATGCTAATGCATATTCAGGCCAGCATATAGTACCTTTAATGCAAATTTTAAGTTTGCTGCATGCCGCATTCATGGTATAACAGTTTTAATGACCAGCAGTGTATTTAGTAAGATGACGCAGAGGAAGTTAGAATTGGTTCGTTTGGAAACTTTAATGCGGCTTTAGCTAAACTACGACCAGAAATCATGGCTGCCAAGACATTAAGTGGATTTGGCAACCGGTAGCTTAGGTATGAGCGATTATTTGGAAAAGGGCTGTTTTACGCAGTTGGTGCTAAAATACATAACTTTGATGCCTTTAAGGCAGCACTGATTAAAGGATATCCACTTATATCATACTGCACGTTAATTAAGCAATTTATTAAGATTTAGAATTTTGCTATGACTTCTGTTTTCTTTAGTCCTCACCAGAATTCAAATTAGTTGCTTAAGTAGTTAAATCAAGGGTTTTGAATGTTTTAAGTAGAGCTTTTGGCTGCTTCGCTTGCAGTGTACCTATTGAAAGGTCTGCCGAAGATAATTTAGCTTTAACTATTTTATTAGACGACGTCAAAAACGCATCATTAAAATATTTAAGCCAACTTAAGGAGACCATTTTGCGTAGTCTCCGATTACGTTATTTGAATTAATGTTATTTTAAATACCCTTAGGCTGAGATTTTTTTATAAGCACATATGACGCCATTTCTTTAATTTTATTTAATAAAAGGCAATTTAAACTCAAGACTCTCTCATATCGATACTGGACTGATGATTCATTTGTCAGTCTAATAGCGTCTTAAGGATTTTAAACTTACACAATTAAATGATTCAATTTGCACAACTAAAACCCTACACAATGGTTACAGACATTGATGAAATCATAATGAAGGTAACTTAAAATATTACAGAGAATTGATTACCAGGAATATTAACAATTAAAAAACAAAGCACAGTTTGGAAGCAGAAATGATGATAAGCTTCTGAAGACTGAAACTAAATGAATGAAGATTAGACAGCAATTTATTAAGATTTTCGTCTTTTTTTTGCGAAAAGACAAAAACTCGGATTTGAAATGGATGGTAAATTGATATTTTTTTGCTGACGGTATGCAGAAATATCGTTTAAATTAAATTCACAGAAGGGTGAATTATACAAGGTGTTTTAAAATGATTATACGAACAACTATCTTTTGAACGACTGGTTTTGTTAATAGATTTTTTGTTCCTTGATAAAGTGCTGGTTCTAGATATTACCAAAGTCGGTGCCAATGGCACATTTTACGAGAAGAAATATTATAAGTAACAGAAAATTAATATTAAACAAATAAAAAATCTAATTTTCTATTATTTTCTGTTTATATTTTTCACAGGTTTCACGAAAAATGTCTGCCAAAGTTACTCCGAGATGCATAATTTTTAAAATTTTCTCTGAGAAGCAGTATGCATGCGATACAAGATAATCCTGTCTTCCGAAAAACGACCAGTATGTAAGAAGATTATTTTTCATTACACTATCCCTTATTTATGATTAACACTGTCGTTTTGCTCTTTTGAACTATCAATACTCCAAGTTCGAAAGTTGAGTTTCAGCGAACTTTTAGAATTCATTTAACATTTAGAAATGAAAAGTTATTTTACTTTTCCCTTTCAAGTTTTTAAAACTAATATGTAATGCTTACATGGAAATATGATCTTTCCGTGGTCATTAAAATTGACTCTGTAAGTGAGAGTAAGCATTTGTGATCTCTTCATTCACAGTTTTCAATCTGTTGATTGCGTCAAACTTGGAAGTTACTCAAGGTAAAGTTACATTTTAAGTTATCAAATTCAGACTTAACTTTAAAAAACTACTAAATTTAGAAATATGTAAAATATTTAAGTTTTTAAACTAATTCTAGTATTTTCTTTTATTTTCAAGAATATTTTTCAGTTATTAAAATCAGCCTCTTCACTATTGTATCTTTTGTGCGTAAAGATCCATTGACTCTATTTTTTCTTATCTATATACTTATTTCATTTCGCTTGTAACTTTCTTCATAAATATTTAATGCAAGCATCATCACATCATTTAGAACTAGACTTCATAAATGCCACATCTACTAATTTTTCCAAATGTTAATTTTATAGCTCATTAACAAGTGTAACAAAATCTGATGTGGATACGACATGACTTCCTTATACGGCCTATTAAATTATACACAATTTTTGCTGCTCTTTATTTACACTTATTTCCTCAAATTATTCTAACTTGAATTACCGATTGCACGGAGCCAGTTGAAAATGACATTAAAATATTGAAAATTTTGAACTTAAATATTTTAATCATTTTTTGTCGTACGGGAGTCAAACGTCTTGTATTTTTATTTTTTTATAATAAGTATAAAACTTTACCAAGTATAGGAACCGGGAGATTGCATTAAGTTAGATTTCATTATTTATCGAAAATTATTATTTTTTTTTTTTCAAATTTGACATTGCAAAAACAGGAATATTGTCGTCATTATGACTTATTATTATGACTGCGAAAATAAGGGTCGGCTTGGTACTTTTTAGCAGAATAAGAGGGTGGATGTATAAAGATATATATATATATATATATATATAAGTTCCATCTTCTTTAAGGTTTAAAGGACCAGCCCGTACGTTGTTATAATTTTTGACTAATAGCAGACCGCTATTTATTTTATTCTATTTTGATTTTGATTTTAATTTTACATTGCTCGGAGTTGCAATTGCTTTTGACACCCTAATGTGTATTTCAGAGGACGCGTCGGGAAAAAGGAACAGAGCAGTGAAGCTCCAAAAAAGGATTTTTCCAAAAAAGATATATTCGGGAATACTAATGTTCTTTCATAAAAATTTTTTCGCGTTAAACAAGAGCTTCAATGGTCTGTTTCGGCGAAACGCGTAATGGTATTTAAACTAGTTCGACAATCAGTTTTTTTCCCTTGAAAAGCCAATTGAGAGTATGAGTGGGGTAATTTACCATTTTCCGCTATTTAATTATAGTATTTAGTATTTTGTATTGTTGCAATTTTGTGTCTTCTTTTTAATTTAAAAAATATTGTTGTTTTTTATATATTGGCAAATTTTTTTAATCTATGTTTTTTATTTGTACTTTCCTTATAATATTTTTTTCCGTCGATTCTATTTTTCATGTGAGTTAAGTTTTCATATATCACAACGATCAGATTAATTTTTTCATGCATTAGCAAGTCTTCCAGCATTAATTTTAGGCAGGTTTTTTTTTTCGCGTGTTTACAGTTTTTTTTTCCAGTTTTTCCAGACAAAAAATTTCTTCTTATTCATATTTTAGTAATACTGTGTTGAAATATTTCGTGGAGCTACAGCTCCTTGGTAACTTTTTAGCAAGATCGCTGCAATGTTTCTACCTACTACTATTATTTCATATCTTTTTGCAGCATTATGCGCAAACGTTTTGAGACCAAATAGGTCTTACGTCTAATTACTTGTTAGCTTTTACATTTTCTTTTTCAATATATATATATATATATAAATCAGCTTTATAATTTAATTTTTAATTAATTTTATGTAATATTTTACATAAAAATTGTAAGATTAAAAATTATATAAATAAGCTTTATAACTTAATTTAATAATGCATCTTTATTTTAAAATTAAATTATAAAGCTGTTAAACTAATTTTATGTAATATCTTACATAAAAATATGTAATATAAAGAATACATAAATCAGCTTATAATTTACTAATACATCCTTATAATTAAATTAAATTGCAACACTATTCTTTAAATTATAAAGCTATTAAATTAATAAAATTATAATTCTATTAAACTATAAGCTTTATAATTTAATTTAATGAATTTTATGTAATAGCTTACATAAAAATTATGTAAGATGAAAATATATAAATCAGCTTTATAATTTAATTTAATAATAGTCTCTTAATTCCTCATTTTTAATCTGAATATTTTCTCTTTTTTATTTTTGCTATTAGGGAAAACGTACACAACAAAGTCTCAGCGAAAAAAACTCTAGGAAGAAGGTATGGTTAAAAGAAGAAGACAGATTGGGTCAGAAAATTTCAAAATCAGGAATAAAATTTTCTTAATTGGGCTTTACGTCTTGATCAGGTTAAAAAGACGTAATCGAGTTGAAATATTGAGAAATTTTAATGCATAACTTAGAAAAAAAAAGTTTACGTAATTTTGAATAGTAAGGTATTTTACTATTTTTAACAATTAATTTAAATTCACTTGCTGGTTTAAAAGGTCTGAGTTTGGTAGAATTGATAATTTCTTATCTCTTTTTAGTTAAGGGGATTTAGTTTCATTCAGAACATTGTTTTAAAATTTTATAAGGACCTGAAAAAAGGAGGCGAAAGTTTTCTAGTGTTAGAATGTTGAAATTCTTCGTAGGTTACTAAATCGCCAGGTTTGAAATTACTTGCTTTAAAATGGGTGTCATACCTACTTTTATTTACACTATGCTAATCGTCAGACCTTTTCTGAGCAATTTTTCTAGCTTCTTCAGTTGGTGGGTATATTTTTTTATTTTCAAGTAAGGGATCATAAGGTAATTTACTATACATTAAATAAGACGGTGGAAATTTAGTTACAGAATGTGGTGTGTTATTGTATTCTTCAGTTACCTGAGAAGATAATAATGTTTCCATGCAATATTACCTTGGTAAGAATTTAATTTATATTTTAATCTAGTTATAATGGTTTTATTAACTCTTTCAACTTTAGCATTAGTTTAAGGTCTATTAGCAGTAGTTAAAAATTGTGGAACATTATTATTCCCAAAAAAGTGCTTAAATTTTGAAAAGTTAAAGAAGCATTTCTATCACTCAAAATTTTCTTGGATAGTTCATTTGAAAAATGCATATTAAACAATTTATAGTATAAGTATCTGTAGTTAGAAGCAAAAGTCCACATATAACGAGTAGCATGATCTATGATAATGTAAGATATATTTCTAAGTAGAATTATAGTAGTTTAAACCACCAACAGTCTCAATAGATAATAATTCAAAGAACTCATTTATAGATCATAAGGCTTGCATTAAACCAAATTTCTTTTGTTTACTTCTCTTATTAAGCTGACATATTTCACAAAACTCTGATGTTTAATTCCCAAAAATGTCTGTTTGATTCATATAAAAACTGATGTTTACAATAATTTCTAATATCTTGCACTATATCTGTCCAATAATACATAGGCGACAACAAACTTAACGTGAGAGATACACCGATATGACCAAATTCAATACGAGTTTTTTCAAGTAATTCAGTACGAAGAGACATTGGAACTACAATTTTGTATAAACCTTGTTTTTCATAGTTAACACATTCATTAATTTTCTCATACTTAGGATTACAAACATCGTCTAAATTTTTATGATATTTAATTTCCTGTAATCATAGTAAATTATTTTGCACACACAAATGCTGGGAAATGGGATTTCTAATTAACATATCAGCTTAAATATGAGTAGAACCTTCTTTATATTTGATATTAAAATCCTACATTTAACGACCATCGAAATAGACTTCTTATAGGATGTTTTATGTTTTAAAGCCAAACGAGAGCAGCATGATCAGTATGCACAGAAGAACGGGCTCCATTTAAATAGTAATAAAATTTATCTAACGCATATACAATAGCTAAACCTTCTAATTCAGTGATAACAATTTTTTTCACAAGATCTTAATTTTCTAAAGGATATTTTAGATTAAATCAATTTAAAATGGGTCTGGAAATTAAAGCGTCTTTTAAATTTTGAAAGGCTATTTAACATTGAACTGTCCATTTATATGGAGTGTCCTTTTTGAGTAAATTTGTTAGTGATGCTCTCATTCTCGTATAATTTGGAATAAATTTATGATACAAATTAATACGTCTTAGTGTTCCTACATTAGTATCTCTACGGTAAAATATCTACGGCATTCAAAAACGTGTGTTTGTTCATCTGCAAGTTCACCACTTCGGTACTATTCGGTTTCGAGGGCCGTAAAAAATTGCCAAACTATTGTTGATGCCAATGCTGCCAAAAATAAATGCGGCAACTCTAATAATTGCGGCAAGAAAGGAACTATAATAGTAAATAACTATCTAAGATTGATGCTTTAATTTAGATGAAAGGAAATTTCATATAATACTTTTTTATTATTATAATTTATATGAAAAAGGCTAAACATCACTGAATGAAAGCGTAAGAGTAAATAACTATTTCAGATCATTATTATAATTTATATAAAAATTGCTAAACATAACTGAATGGATGCCTGCATCGCTATTTCGCTACCGACTTATCGTTAAAAGCATAATTTCATCTCGTTGGTTGTTCAAACGTAATTTTCTATAATGAATGATGCCTTTTCTTTGAAACTATTCTCGGTAAAGTGCAGAATCGTTCACTTATTTGTTTGCCGCTTTTTACAAGGGTTAAAAACAATTGGATTTTTGTCAACTTTCTTTTACTTTTTAAGTGAAAATAGGTCGATGTGTACATAGATAAAGTCAAGGGTGTGCGCAGTGCCATTTTTGTGCAATTCTAGGATTTTTTTTTCAAGTGAAAATAGGTCGATGTGCACATGGATACCGAGTATGTGCAGTTCTTAAAAACGCGTCAAGCAGTGGGTGATTCTGCACTTTACCCAAAATTCTATTGCCGACTTTTCGTCGTGGGCAATCCCAAATTGTTAAATCCATAGGGTATCAAAAAAAGGGATTTAAAATCAAAAAAGGATTTAAAAATTAAACTAGTATGTCAGTGGCGTCTTAAGAAATATAGAACTATATAAACTTACGCAATTTGAAATCAGCGCGTGCTCTAGATTTGGCGAGCTGTTAAATGTGCGCGTTTGCCAGATTTGGCGCTTTTGCGCATACATTTTCCCTGCAATTTTTTCACGGCCCTCAAAACCGAATAGTACCAAAACTTCTAGCATTTAGTAAAACAAAGTGCGCAGTTTTCCTCGGCCATCTCTGCAATACTTAAAAGGGAAAAAATATGTAAATCAAAATTAACTCCGTAAATCTCCCTCTCTATCCTAAAACTCGTAGCTTTACTGGACTGTGTCATTTCTAGATCAAGCCATCTTGCATGGCTTGCGTAACGCTGAAGATAGCTAACTAGTGTCAGTCTTAGTAGTATCAGTCTTTAGAGTTGTGCAAACAAACCTCTAAGAGAAATTCGTGTGTGTTATATTTATATAGGAAACGAACAAATAGAAATATTTTAAATTTTAAATATAAAATTAACATGTAATGGTTACTGTTTTCAACTCTCTTTCAGTTCTTCTTTCAGTTCCCGAAAGAATCTAATATTGGTTAAAAATAATATTTTCTCGAGAACTAATAATATAAAATCTCGGATTTTCTCAGCATTCTAAGTCCAGATATTATAAAAAAATAATACGCCTTACTTTTGTAAAAAGGCACCGAAATATTAATCAAATGAGTATTTTAGGTAATTAAGCATTGCATTCAAATACTTTTCCTGTTAAGCTTAAAAAATTTATAATACGTAAGAAAATTGAATCTAAATAAAGACAATGTAATTAATTGGTGTTTTTATTTTAGGCTACTACCAAAAACAATGTTAAAGGTTCGATACACAGAGGTAAATGTTTTTTTCTTCAGATATTTTTCGAAATTAAATATAAATTACTGAAAGCTTTAAATAGTAAATAAATTAATCCTATCCTTGTGAACAACCTTTTGAAGTGATAAGTTAAGCATCAGACTTAATGATTTCTACACTACACTACTATATATCGAAAACTATTTTTAATTAAATGAAAATTCTTACAGTGGCCTCCATGGGCAATGGATGTTCCTGCTGGCAACAAAACGGAACTCGATGGCGTGTTGAAAGATGTTTTTGAAGCTTTGAGTCATTCTTTGGATATTAAGTAAGAAAAATATTTTTCTTCAGCAAAAGCACATTGTATACATACATATTTTATAAGTCTTTTGACATATTTTTACAGTAATTCATAAGTACATTTGCGTCTAATATTCGGATAAACTCAGAAACAAAACATGCGTGAAGTTTTTTTTTTTTTTTTTTTTTTTTTTTTTTTTTTTAAGAAAAAGACGGTTTTATGTATTTCGTACTACTCTGCCGATTGACGAAATATAACTTACAAATTTTAATACAAAATTGGACTTTTCCTGAAATGACATGCCAGGTGTTTCCATATATCGATTTTGGGATTCAAATTTGCTTAAAAACCAAATTTTGTAAACTTTAATGAGAAACTTACGGTATAGTTCGATAATGTGGCTTGGCCCAATTTTTTCAATTTCTGCCAAAACTTGCACATACTAAAAAATGGTGCAAGAATATAGCGTTTACTTTGTCCCACTAAGTTATCAAATCTTAATATCCCGTGCAAGTATCCTAAATTATATAATTTTGACTATTTAAGACTAGTAGCTGACACATTAAAGAGCATATTCTTAAATTATTCTTAACAGTATGAGGAAAAACTAGAAATTTGAAACAATTATCTTTTTTTAATTTCTAATGGCAGATTACAAAGTCAGCTGCAGACGGAATTCATTAGTTGTAGAAGAGTTACTATAAAAATTAATATTTCATATATTTTTACTAATAAAAGATGGAATATGACCAAAATTATCAAACGCTTAAGGCTTAGTTTATTTAATTAGATACTTATAAATACTTACTTAAAACTATTCACTACGTTATAGGCATATTATGCTTTTTAATTTCGCTTTTGTGGACAAAGTGAAGAATCAAACCATATATAATAAAGTTTTAACAGACCCCAAACTGAAGGGATGGTACCTCTAAAAAAATTCGATTATAAATTTGAACGGAAGCTTTGAACTTCCGTTAATTTGAATGATTAAGACGATCGTTGCTGAATGTTTGTATCATACGTTGATTTTTAAGAAAAATTATTATTCTTTATCTTAAATTTATATAAAAATATATAGTGCTTCGGAAAAAAGGGGGTTTGGGATGATAATATTAGCTGTCTTTTTAAATATGAAACAATTTATTAATTTAGAAGTCAACCAAGAAAAAATCAGCGTTATATTTTCAAATTTTCACAGGACTAGTTTCGATGGTTTAACCGAACCATCATCCTCAGCTGCAAAATCGCAAATGAACAAGATAGGAAATAATGACTAGATAAGATAAGAAAGCCTGGACAAGAATAATCAAGTGGCGCCATCTGTTGATGAAACCAGAACTGAAACATAATTTCTTTAAAGGCCGAAGGCAAAGTTGGATTCGAATTAGGGTCATTAACTAGAGCAGAAGGACTGTTTTGAATGTGAAATGCCTCTAGAAAATCCAGTTCACCAATGGAAGATGTTGTTTGAATAATTTTGGCAGCAGAAAAATTGTCCCATCCTGGCTGATATCTACATGTATTATTATGAATCAAAATTGTTTGAAACTTTAAACTTCCCGGCATGGTTCCGCTACGTAGACGATACTTTTACCCTGTTTGAAGGTAATAAAGATGATTTAAATAAGGTTCTTTCAACAATGAATTTCACTGATCATGCTATTCAGTTCACTTCAAACTTGCAATTCTCTTCCGGTTTCTCGAAATTTTGGTTATACGTAACACATCCAACTTCAGTACTACGTTTTACTGTAAACCTTCATCGGTTTACCTTCCACCACACTTCAAATCATGTCATTCGACTAAATAAAAGTTAGCTTTATTTTATTCTTATGTTTTCCGTACTCTTCAAGTTTGCTCCTCCAAACTATCCCTTGATGAAGCTCCAAACTATAAAAAGCAATAGCTTTTGACAGGGGCTTTTCACCCAATATTATTAATCAAGCAGTTAAAATATTCTCATCTCAACACAACAAAAGACACATTCTTGTTTTAGGTGATTATAAAAATTCTCCATCGATTTGCTATTAAGTTGCACGTATTTTTCAGAAATTTAACTTTCAGGTTGTTTAGTCTTCCATCAATAAAATTCCGAGTTCCATACTCAAGGACCCCATTCCGGATATGAAGCCCTGAGGTATTTGGATTCCTTGCCAGTGTGGCTTAATTTACATTGGTCAAACTAAGAAAGCCTTAAAATTTGGCGTCAAGGAACAGGAGGCATATGTTAGAAAAAAGGAAACACAGAAGTCTTCTGTTGCCCAACATTGTTGGTCCGAAAATCACACTTTCAATTTTTCTGGTGCCAAAATTATTCAAAAAACATATTCCATTGGTGAACTGGATTTTCTAGAGGCATTTCACATTAAAAAAAATATTTCTGTTCTAGTTAACGACTCTAACTTCAATCCATCTTAACCTTTAAAGAAATTATGTTTTAGTTCTGGTTTCATCAACAGATGGCGCCAGTGGCTTATCTCCTGTCCAGGCTTTCTTATCTTATATAATCATTATATCTTATCTCGTTCATTTGCGCTTTTGCAGCTGAGGTTGATGGTTCGGTAAAACCATCGAAACTAGTCTTGTGAAAATTTGAAAATAAATCGCTAATTTTTGTTGTTTGACTTCTAAATTATTATTTGTTCGGCGTGTTATTGTATCTTAATTGTGAAACAGTTTGTTTAAAAATATATAAATGCCACAGAATATCTTTGAACATAAAAGGTCCTCAGAATTATCTTTATTTTTTACAGAAGGGAAAAACTAACATTCTAGTAAATTTTACTACTGTTAAACATTTCTGTAGTAAAAGGCAGCATGTTTAATTTAGAACTGATGTTTGGCTTATTGGATGAAATACATAGAAATATTAAACGCATATGTTCCAAATCTTTTCCAAATTTGCAAATAAATTTCTTTGCATATGAAATGAAATTAAGTAAAATAGGCCATAAAATAATGAAAATAAAAATTTTATTCTTACAAGAAAAAGGAATCAAGAGCCGCCCAACCAGGACAGTGGTTAGTAACTTTGGCTACCATAACCAAAGAACCCTATTATGAATCTCGGAGACGGCATGGATATTTGTAGATGTATAGTGTCTGTGCAGCGTGGAGGCATTATAAATATGCGGCGGTCATAAGTATTAGTAGGTTATATATATTCCAGAATTTTAAATTAATTTTACCCAAGTAATTCAAGATACCCGGAATCACCTTTACCACCCCCTCTCCTCCAAAATTTCATCTTCTAATAGTATTTCTTTAACTACAGGTTTACAATACAATCTCAGGTGGATCACCAGTTCGGAGCTCTTCAGCCTGACGGTAATTATAGTGGCATGTTGGGAGCTGTACATAGAAAGGTATATTTTTTCATTTATTAAAATTTTGAAAAACCTGAATGCCTGTTAGGATTTTTCTTGGCTTTATTTCTACATCTTAGGTGTGAGATAATTTTCATGCAACAAAGAATAGTATTTTAAGACTGCACGAGCTATTTTTTATATCAATCTGTTTCAATATTTTGAAGAGAAAAATTTAATTATTGTTTTTGAAATGATGTCCATCTCATATAGCTTAGACAAAACAATTAGCATTCTAAGAAATTAATGAATTCCTTATTGCATAATCGTATCGTGTAAGTGGTTAGCATTACCAGCTAATAGCTGAAAAATCCACGTTCAAGTTCTTACTAAAGCACAGCTGATTTTTCAAATTTTCTCTGTGAAAAGCCTAATACTTCCTACAGTATTTTTAATGGAAGTCTTTCTGTTCTAATTATAGAAAACTCAAGCTGAGGTTCGGTTTGCGCAACTCTGCAAATTATTTAAAACTTCATGCATTCAAGTTCTGTCCTTTCAAAGGCTATACTATTCAAATGCTATTATAATCATGCATTTAAATGATGTGTTATTCTAGGAAAGAAAATGCTATTTTACTTAACCATAGAAGAAACGCAGATTTTACTCATAATGAATACGATATAATTTCAAAAGTATGTTTAACTAAAAATTCAGTTATTCTAAAAGGAAAAAAAGGTAATTTTAAGATTTCTGATAAATAAGATCCTTATGTAAGTTCGTCACTTGAAGATCACTTTTAAACATCATGTTTATGAGTTTTTATGGGCTTTGATTTTAGCACTTGCAGATTTTACTCATAATGAATACGATATAATTTCAAAAGTATGTTTAACTAAAAATTCAGTTATTCTAAAAGGAAAAAAAGATAATTTTAAGATTTCTGATAAATAAGATCCTTATGTAAGTTCGTCACTTGAAGATCTCTTTTAAACATCATGTTTATGAGTTTTTATGGGCTTTGATTTTAGCACTTGCCAAACACTCCCCCCCCCCATTCTGTACTTAATGGCTTCCACAGACTTAATTTTAATTTACGATAAAAAGTACAAGTTTTAAATGAAAAGTTTTCAGACTGGAAACATTTAAACGCTTTTGGAAACAGAAATTCAATATAATATGTGCAAGAAAACATTTAGCGCAAATGAATTAATTTTTCTAAAAAATGCTAATTTAATAAAATGCCCAACACACACGTGAGTGAAACTGTCAATGTTTTCACTTGTACTGTAATATACCATTGCATTATAGGTCATTAATTTCTAATTTGAAGACACTGAACAATATGAAAATTTTAAATAAGTAACAGACGAAATGACAGCGTCACGTGCAAAGCAAGTAAAATGAACGTTTATATTATAAAATGAATGCGTCGAAACGTTTTTCGATTTTTCTTTGTCTGTATTGTCTGATCTGTAACTATTTTTAGATACACTGTGTAAAAATATTTGGTAATTGTAAAATTATTATAATACGTTAAAGAAATATCAAAACTGCTAAAACTTTTGGCGACCCCCTGTTGCAGGTCCTATGGCCTACGTCGCGACTCACAATTTTAGAAACTCTGCTTTATAGTAACATGGTATCTCAACCTAAAAACCTGAAATCAAGCAGATCAAAGACGCAGGATACTACAATTAGTCCCAGACGTTTATCTCTTGCTACTCAACCTTTCTAGAGAGTGATTCGTGGCCACTGTTTCCGCCAAAAGTTGTTTAAATTAAATAACTTTTCTTTGAGCACAATGTATGGAAGTTTCAAACAATGTACACAGAAACTCTCTCTATATATTAAAATTTACCTTTCTTCATCGATACATTTAGATTTACATCAGTTTGGATGTCATTAAATGAAAAATGTCGCCAGATCTCTAAATTTGATAGTCATACTAATACTTTAAAAAGACTTTTAAATGAGACTTTCCTTATTCGAAATTTTCGTTCATTCTCTGAAATGTCTTGTACAGTTACACGAATTGCACTCTCTGGCATCTAACCGTACAAACCCAATATAGATTCCAAGCAATCAGTTTTCTGAAATTTAACTGGCAATATATAACTGTATTCATTAAAGCATCTTAATCCGAAATCATATCATCTCGAAAATGGTTTTCGCGAAAAGCATTCCTCTTATAAGGAATAAAATACTTTCGAGGAATATTTTGACAGTACAATTGCTGTTTTGGGTCACTTTTTAGAAACTGATAAATATTAACACAGTCTAACATAGCTGGATTTGTAATTTGACACACAATAATGAATATAAATTAGTAACGTACTGTACTTAAACATATATACTTAACAAGCACGCATGAGTGCCACATCGTTAGCTGCGAAAATGTCCAGAAAGAAAAGGATTGGATTGGATTGGATTATTGTAATTTGGCACAAAACCTGTCAAGGTTATCTGCGCCAGACAAATTGGACGAAAAGGATGAGTCTCCTCGAATTGCTTGACAAGTGACATGGCCATTTTCCTCAGGAAAAATCATGACGATATCCTGTATCTTGGATGGTAAAATCTTGGTTTTCTGTCATGCAACAAACTTTTTTTTCTGGTTTGTAAAAGTATTCGGGAAACGCAAAACGCTGCTAGCTTTTGAATGAGGAATTATTTGAAAAACTGACTAATTATTTGAAAAACTGAGTTTTAATTTGGAATCCACCAATCACTTAATTTTTGATTGCAAACAATGATCCTGCCAAATCATAAAAAGAAAATACTGAAGACTAATGGAAAATATTCAAAGAATTAAGAGATTTCATTAAGTAGTTCCTAGCATATAATTTTTATTAGGACAGTTTTTGTTTTAATTTGTAAATGGGAAATACCTTTGGATATCAACATTTCCAGAAGCAAAATAAACTGAGAATAACTGGAAGACAGTATTTTATGAAAACAGCTTCAATACTGGAGTTGCTGGCATTTTATAAATATATAAAATTACAGTGTTCATAGATCATGAATTAACGTATTCATTAAGCTTTGGTAAGACGAATACATAAGGTTAATTCAATAGACATCCGAGAATATTTTTTTTAATATTATACACTGAAATTTCATATTTCTTAACCAAATTTAGAATTTAAAATTAGAACTACAAATTTATAATTACGCTCTCTGACCATCAGTCCTTTTTTATTGGGTGTTGGATTTAGCACTCATTATTAGCATTTTAGATGGTTCCAGAAACTATTAACCACCCACATCTCTGTCAGTTATGCACATAATAATATGTAAATATTTGTATTTAGTTTATCAGAGCATGACAAATGTATTTTGATTTCACTTTTATTAAAAATTTGCACTGCAGAAAACATTTCCATATTTACAGAATCCCTTCATTTTTTATAGCTGAAACTGCTTTCTTTAAACGTTTTAATTTATTTTGAGAAGTTTATTGCAGGAAATGCATCCAGCGGATCAATATTTAAAGAAATAAAGCGAGTAGCCACAATTTTATGTAACTTATCAGATAGTAATTATAGTCTGATTCGAATGAATGAACTTTAATATTTAAAAATTTAGTTTTTATATTTATAGATCCTTTTATCTATAACCCCTGATGCTGTTTCATGAAATGTTGTGGTTTATTATTTCGAGAAATTTTATAGCCATAAATAAATGTTTGGAATCAATTACAGCTCGTAGCTTCCTTTTTTTAACATTACTTTAATATTATTAGTCAGAAATGGTACATAGTTTCTAGTGAATGTGTGCAACTATGTGAGAAAGATCCACAGGTCCACAGGTTATTTGAATAATATATCCTCCAATAATCCTAGAAACCTTCATATACCATATGTTATGTCCTTAAAGTAATCCTAGGAGGATATTTTGGGATTAAAATTTCAGTTTACATTAATTTTGTATTAAAATCATTTTAAATATACGCTTATGAGACTTGTACATAATAAGTGCATTGCTTTCATAATTCATTATTATTATGTAATAATTTTAGGAAGTTGATATTGGAGGACCGTTTGTAGCATCCGAACAAAGAGCTGCTGTTGCTGACTTCACAAATTGCTTAGAATTCTCAAAACTTGGAATGCTAACTGGCATAATGTCAACTGAAAGAAATATGTTTCTTTATTTTAAGGTTTTTTCTTGGCAGGTAGGTTTAGTCTGATATATTATGATATAAATTAATTTTAAATGAGTTATTTTTATTTACATCATTCTACTGTACCATATACCTGCTGTTCGTAAATATTCTTAATAAAAGTATTGAAATTCAGAGCTATGCGTTTTCTCACATTGCAACTTTTTTAACACTACGATGCTCCTAACTCAAGAGAATAAATATGGATGGAATAAAAATGAAGATAAAATATGATCTATTTCTTTTTTAATTCCAGACTGTTTGTATGTTATTTGAATAATATATCCTCCAATATACAGCAAAGAGAATGTCTGCCTTCTCTTCATTGTAGATTTTGGACAAAATCTGCTATTTATTGGCCGCTGATTTCTCCATATATCCACAGCTTCTCAAAGATTATTGATGAATATCGTTTATATCGCAGAAAGATTGTTTAACCCTCTGACTCCTCAATTTGTGGACCGAAATCGCTTCCAAAATTGCGTTTTTTTCTTTCTTGTATATTTTAAATCTATATATATAGGAGAACTGAAAAATCTCCATTTTCTTTCTAGAAAATATTTTTTATATAGATTTGTATCATGAGAAACTAAGTTGCCAGAAAAAAACAATTTCCAATGTTATCACAAAAAAAAAATCTTTTTTTAAATAAATTTCAGTCGAATTACAGTTAATTTCTATTTATTGCATAATATAAAAAAGTAAAATGTATAAAATTTAAGAAAATATAAAGCGCTGATGGAAAAATACCTGAAAAATGTAGTTTAGAATAATAGAGTTCAAACTTCACAGTCTTTGCACCAGATTCAATAAATCTAATTAATAATCAATCTAATTATTAGTCTAATCAATAATTCAATAATTTAATTAAATAATCAAGATAATCGCTGAACGTTTTCTAGCAGCCATTTCTGTAAGAAAAAAGCGGCAAAAAGTGAGGTTTGAGCGCTGATATCACGTGCCTTCAAATGCCGCAATTTAGTGGACAATTAACGATATCTGTTGGCCAAAACTTAAACTGAACACCTAATACTGTATATAATTTATTTCAATGGTTAAACGGGTAAAAAACGAGATGCGCTCCTCAATAAAGGAAGAAAAACACATGCCCGCGGAAATCGCGGGATGAGCAAATTTTGCTACATTTGAGTTGCCCGTGGAAATCGTGGGATGATCAGCCAGAGGGTTAAGCAGATAGCCCTCGAGAGATAGCCCTCGAGTGCTTTAAATAAACCAAACCAAACTTGATTAAAAGACTAGTTAGAGACCAATAATATAGCAGATAGATTCTTTATTTTTCCAGAAAAGTGTGTAACTTTTCTTTTGTAGTTTATTTCACAATTTTTTAATAAAGTATTTAGGAATTCTGGTATTTGCAACGGAATGCCGAATTTGGTAAGTATCTAAATTATTTGTTTTCTAAATGTGTTCTAAACATTAAATCGTGTTGATGAGACATCAGTGAGTACTCTGTAGAAATTTCTTCAAAAGAGCAGTTATGTTAACCAGCATATGCTATACACAAATACAGTTTGGGTATTTGGCGGCGGTTTCTGGTGCAAAACGATGTTCCACAAAATGTTCAATTCAGGTGATGTCCAGCGAGAGCAGTCGATGAACCAAAGGAAGGATCCAAGTTTGCGACAGGTACTTAAACATCTGCCTTGTTGGAATACAATACAAGATGCAATGTGGTAGTATAATTTACGATCTTGCCACTATACTGGATGTACTATGGTAGTATAATCAGTGATCGTGCCATCGTACTGGCAGGAAGTGTGGAACTTCCTGCCAGTACGATGTACTTCATGTGGAAGACAACACATGAATTTCCCAACAATCCAACCAATCTGAATAAATGTAAAAAGACGTAAATATGTCTATAATTTTTGCAGATGTTTCGAACAATTTCGAAACAGTATATTTAGTTTTAGGGGGATAGGTAAACTATGATTTTTTACTCGATTAGAATGTATAACAATAAAAAGGATGATTCGCAATCTTCTGCTACATAAAACATTAATAATGAAATAATTTTATGTAACGATATTTTATTTGTTTTCTTCTCCTACCTTATTTTAAAATCAAGCTTCAGTTAAATGGGGTAGCCAATGAACCAATCTGTATGTTTCGTGCCGGTAGAATTTACCCATAGTTGCCGTTCCATAATATGGCGATTGTATTTTACATGTGATGCGGTAAAAAAAAAAAAAAAAAACGAATCATTTTACGCATTTTAAAAATATTACGAGAGCTAACACTTGTTTCCAAGATAAAGTAATGCAATAATGAAATGGAAAATCTTTCGGCCTTCTAGCAATGAGAAAGAGTACTGGTGCTGATGTTTTAACTAAAATCTATTCTATTTCACTTTCATACATGATATATGTATAATAATGTACAAACTAATATATTCAGTGTTTCTATTCGAACTGATTGATTTCTCATCATATTATCAGGTATGGCTACTTCTTTTTGTGACCATCGTCATAGGAGCACTTATCTCAATTTTAATTTATGACGTTTCTCTCAATGGGTGGAAAGACAATCAACTTCTTCTTTTATCCAGATATCTTTGGGTGTTCTGGTGTTATTTAATTGGTCACGGTAAGTCTCTAAATTAATACTCATTTAACTTAAAGATCAAAATATATGAGCAGAATTTAAATAATAAGAATAATGTTAGTTTAAAATACGTATTTATTCGGTGAAAATACCGACAATATACGTTCTTGAAGTTTTATTAAACTTCATAATAAAAATTTAAAAAATTTCAGGTATTCAGTTAAGCTGAACCGTTGCTTCTACACTACTGGCCATTAAAGTTTCTATGCCACGAAAGACCGAACATTTATATAAAAGGTAAAAATATCTGGGATATACAAATGATTAACATTTCACGATATGCGTACATAAAAGGAAATGGTAATGACACCTCAAAGTAGGGAAAAAGCAGCTTGAAATGACAAATTTTCCTTAAGAATTTTCGTTTACTTGTTGTTTTGGGGTTGAAGCTCGTGTTATGCCTCACCACAAGAAGAAAGAAACTCACACCAGCACGTTTCAGAATTCGATTTTAAGAGAATCGTAGCTTACCAGGACTGCGATTTATAGTATTATGAAATTACTGTTCTCGCTGATTGAGATACAATGACTCGTATTAAAATTAGCAGTCGATGAACCAAGGAGGATCCCACACAACAACGTGCGAGACCTCATCGGCTAGAAATCACTAATGTCCGAGACTACAGATACCATTCTCGCATCGCTATTAGGGATCATATAGCCATATTATGTACTATGGAATACGAAAATTTATAGCAAAAATATCCTAGCGTACTGTGTCATTATGTTTGCAGTGTCACATACTGTTAGCTAGCGACTTTTGAACGTCTTCCTATTTCTTTGGGACGCTGCAGCCAGGAATCTACAATGGTGCTTTAACAGCGTAATACATATGGAGCATCAATAGCGTGATCTCATCTTCATTGATGGAAGTCGTTTTGGCTTAGAGCATAAAGATAGTCGTATTTGTATATAAATAGTATATCATAGAAGATGAACGTTGAAAGCTTGCATTCTTCATCTTCATAGTCAAACCAGGCCCAGTACCTTTATTGAAGATAAGAAGTATATACCTCATTTGACGTCTAGTCCACATATTCAGTATACTGATATTATTGCGTTGCTCGGGTTTTAATGCTCGTTGATTGTGCAATAACTTCAAGACTTCTTTGCCCAAGTCTTTCAGCAGAGCGATACAAGACCGCATGCTGCTCACATCGCTCTGCCCCTCTTCAGTACACAGCTTAAGCTTCTGACCTGGCCGACGCGTTTTCCGCATCTTCTACCTAATAACAAATCAATGTCTGATCAGTGGCTGCAGACGTAATGGTACAACAACATCCGCCATCCAGGCACAGATATAAGTACAAGTCAGTGAGACACCAGCATTTCACTATTGGTAGTATAGTCTCATCATGCTAACTCTGCGGCTCCGCAACAGAACCACTTTGACAGAGACTTGAAACCTCATGGACATCCGTACTTATACGAGTAACTGCCATCTAAAATCTGTTTTTCCGCACTTCCGTGTAACAGCCTTTATTTTGGCAAAGCTTGGGATTTGCTCTGTGCCTCGAAATTACTAGAAAATTTAATATTTAATCTTTTCATTATAATGAATTTGGAAAATAAACATAATTCTACTAACTGCTGTTTTTCGCAATGTAGCAATTTATTGATGAACAGTGCCTTACTGTTACTTTACCTTGCTCACAATTGTTCTTTTAGAAATATATTATGACAAGTTTTTCTAGATATATTTCAATTTCGTAATTATTTTTGCCTTGGAAAGAGGATTTTGAATCTAGTAGCTAGTTACAGAGAAAAAATTTTATTAAATAAGCTATCTAGGACAAAGATTATTCTAAAGAGAAAGGAGAAAAAGAAAATTCTATTAAACATAATTTTCTAAATTTTTATTTTTGTGAAATTTTCTTATCACAGTTAATATGAAATAAAATATTGTAAAAATTATGTCTGTTTAGCCTCCGACTGAAAACGTTTCTTATTATAAATGTTAGTTAAAATATAAAAATGTAACATATGAACAAAATATATAAAATGTAATTATCTGTTTGGCATAAAACTTAATAAGGGCTAAAATCCTTTGTATTCATTTATAAATTGCATTCCAAAACTGGGAGCAGAAATGGATTTGGTTTGTGCAAATTGTTATTGCGACAGAGCCCAGCATTCTGATAGGCCTTTAAATCGTTAATGAGTTCTAAAAATATAGTAAACATACACTGTGGTTTAAAATGAAAAGCTTCAAGTTCAGGCGAAAACTGTCTACCAAAGCACAAATTGGTCATTGGAACATTATATCTTGATGCAAAAATAAGACTTCCTTTTCGTTAAACTCAAAGTAATGTTCATTCGATTGGAATGGAAATAAATGTATGGTGTATATTCCATTATACGCATCTATAGCCTGTATTCTACGGCGCTTAAAATTATGTACATCCTTGGAAAAATCGCCACATTAGAAATGAATGTAAATTAATTTTTCATCTTCTAGATTTAGTTAAATAATCTTAGTTTAACAATTTATAAAGATATTCCAGAACACCTGAGTTGAACACCTGAGTTGTAGATTTAGTTAAATAATCTTAGTTTAACAATTTATAAAGATATTCCAGAACACCTGAGTTGAACACCTGAGTTGTAGATTTAGTTAAATAATCTTAGTTTAACAATTTATAAAGATATTCCAGAACACCTGAGTTGAACACCTGAGTTGTAGATTTAGTTAAATAATCTTAGTTTAACAATTTATAAAGATATTCCAGAACACCTGAGTTGTACGTCGAAGTTGTACGGAATATTAAATCACATTAGTTTAGCATTTAAGAATAGGGAATACCAGAATGCATGTACTGCAATTAGGAAAGATCTCAGAAGCTCCCGCTTACCAAATTTTTTATTTTTTTTCTTCTTTTACGTTTTATACAAATGTACTCAGTAATATTTCATTCAATAATAATAACCGATTAAATGCAATAATGCTTTGTCTTTATTCCATCATTAATTTTAAAATTATTTTTCAGATTGCGGTACAACTAATCACTGGGCTCTTCGAAACATCTGGTTTCGAAACTCTTTTAGAGTGCTCTTAGCAGCATGGCTTCTAGGACCAGTTATTAATTCGCTATATACTTTCCAAGGAACTATAACGTCTACTTTTGCTATCACAAAACTAAGACCCGTTGTTTCGAGCCTAGAAGAATTGGATAGAAAAACATGGGTAATACCAGTGACGACAAAAGGTTCAGCCGTACAAATTTGTTTCATGGTTAGTTTAAACATTTACTTATTATAAAAGCTTTGAAGTTTGTTACGATTTTATCGGATATTGTTACAGTTTTTTTTTTGGAAATTTTCCAGATGACATTCTAAGAGATGAGTTGCAAACCTATGCTTAAAATACACACACTGGCCAATGAATTAGAAACCCAAGATCAATATTTTATTGTCCCACCTTTTGCACAGATAACTACTCTGATTCGTTTGAGCATGGAGTCTACATGCTTCTCGAGTGCATTTACATACAGAGAATACCATGCATTAGCTATGCAACTTTTTAGATCTTGTAAATTAATCTCATACATTTTCTATGGGGTTAAGATCCGAGCTAGGGGTCTAGGGAAGGTGTTGGAAGTCAGACAGATGTTCAGCGAACCAATTTTGAACACTATAAGGTATTTCTTCCACTTTCCTAGCGTGCTTTCGTGGTATATTGGTCCTGCACACTAGGCCAGTATCCAGAGGTCCGTGGTTCGATTCCCGGCGAAGGCCTTTGCTCATTTTTCATCTCTCCGGCTTTTCCAATTAACTAATGTCTCTACAGTGGCGCCCGAACTAAAAGGGTGTTGGATGAGGTTTCTCCACACCCAGGATTTCGGGATTAGGTCCCCTTAAACCCTAGTCGTCCTTTAAAAAAGGGAGTATATAAGGTATTTCTCCCACTTTCCTAGCGTGCCTTCGTGGTGTAGTGGTCCTGCACACTGGACCGGTATCCAGAGGTCCGTGGTTCGATTCCCGGCGAAGGCGTTTCTCATTTTTCATCTCTCCGGCTTTTCCAATCAACCTAATGTCTCTACAATACTTCTGGCACGATGCATAGTTGCTTTATCGTCCATGAAGTATCCGTCACCATCAGGGTAAAAATGCAACATTGCACGGCGCACTTGATCTTTCAGTATATCTAAGTATCTTATGGCTGTTTGTTTACCCTCGAGGAACACCAAGGCACCACTTCCATGCCAGCAGAACATGCCCCATATCAGAATACTCCCACCAAACCCTTGCACAGTGCGAGTAAAGCAAGATGGATTCATGGTTTCATGAGGTTCCTGCCAAATTCGACGTCTTTCGCCAGTAAAAAATAAGGTGTAGCGTGAGCTATCAGACCGCATTATCCTTTTCTAATCCTCAGTTGTCCAGTGTTTGCTTTCCCGACACCACTGCAAACGGATTCTTGCATGTCGGGCAGAAATGAGTGGATTTCCCACAGGCACCCGACAATGCATTCATAGCCTCTGCAATTCTCTGAGCATGGTTCGAGCTGAAATCTGTCGGGAAGAGCCTTGGTAGACGATCTGTGTCAATTGAAGCACAGTAGAGTCCCTCTTCTGCCGTACAATTTGTCGAAGCCGGCGCCGATCACTCTCCTGGGAAAACTGTGATCGAACCGCGGTTACGTCTTCTAGAGAAGGACTGTGGGTTCTGATTCCAACTGTTCAAAACTTTTGTTATGGCTGCTTTTGGGATTCCAGTGAGATTTGCTGACTCCGAAATCGAGGCTTCTGCTAAACGGGCACCAACAATAAGCTCTTTCTCAAATGTGAAAGATCTGTAGTTTTTCCCATTTCACTTCATTCATCGCGAAAAATATTCTTACACCTTACTTACTAGCATTTTAACCACATGCAATTTACGTCATAAAGCAAATTTGCATACCTCATCCCTAGCAAGCATTCAAATGACACTTTCAAAGGTTTGTAATTCGCTGGACAGTGTGTGCATTATAAGAAAGAATGTATGCAGTATCTGTTACACTTCGAAGATAAACTCGTGAAGCTTGTGAGGAAAAACGGATATTTTACAGAAAAAAAATCTGGACACCACATGACTTCCTTGCACGGAATATTAAATTATACACATTTTTGGCTGAATTTTATTTAAACTTATTTTCTCGAATTTCATTAGAGATAATTTCTCATTCAATTCCTTCAGTTTTCACTTCGCGGCAAGACAAAAATACATGGAACCTCAAAGTATCTTCATTAAAAATTGAAAAATATAGAAAAACATAAAACACCAAATATAGTTAAAATAATTTAAAAACAATTTTTGCAATTAAAATTGAAGTTTTTATGCAAAAACAAACAATTCGGCCAGCAGGCAAGAAGCCAAATTTTTCGGTGCACAAAACTGAACGTCTCCTTTTGGTTACGCTCGGGGAAAAGACACTGAAGGTGCAGAAACTGACTTAATTCACTATTCTGCTAAGTTTCAAATCTAAACAAATATGGCTGCTATCAGGACTTAAAAGAGAAGGGCTAGCTCATAGAGCTTTTTCCCCTGAAACAGGCAGCGGGGAGTGATGACGTAGCCATAATGACACTGAACGCGGAGATGCAATTGACAACATAGAAATTAGTGTTTTAAATTTGAAGAATCAGCGTTTAAAATGAGCTGTGTGTGAAAGACAGTTATCATATAGAAGAGACAATGTTACTGTAGTATGCGTTTTACATTGAACATTAAAAAATTTTTATTTAACAAATTTTAAAAATAACAAAAAAATAAAATACGCTACTCTTAACATAAAGTTCCTTTTTTTAATTTGCAGGGATTGTTTTTTTAAATGCCTGTTTTTTCTAATCATTTCTTTATCTGAGATTTAATTAAAAGAATACTACTGCTTCTAAGATAACTATAATAAACAGCTATTTAAAATTAATCAAAAAGCAACCTTAAATTGGCAGTTTTCAAAATTTCTGCTAATCTGAGTTTCAGGCCTAATTGTAAATTTACATTGGTATATTTCCCGATGTCAATATAATAACATACATATTTTTTAATAATTTTTGTAACTTAGGCTTACATCAATATTACATTTAAATAAATACATGTAAGATTGTTATTTTAATTTAGACAAAACAACTTACTCACAGTACCTAAAAAAAAATTACTTAATTTTTCAAAAGTGGGGGTTAAGGAGGCAGGTCTTCTTATGTCAATTACTTTAATTTTATATTATTATATTTATCTAGAATGCTAAGCTAGCACAACATTGAATCAATAATAATACAATCAGGATACATAAAAATAACTTTAACAATAACTTAACAAAATTAGTTCTCATTTGAAATATGCTTTACGCTATTAACTTCTAAAATGTCATCTACAAATACTTCAAATCAAAACATATTATATATGCTTTCTTTGTACAGTCACAATGCTACGCAACTTGTTGAAATATTATTTATTGGCTGCCACATTCGAAGCAATCCACTTTTGTTTAGGGCTGCTTTTCTTGAGAAATCATATGCATTTCTTTTAAGAAATTTATTCTAATAAAATTCGCACTCTGCAAATAACGAATTGCTTTCTGTTAACTTCAGGATAATGTTTCTCCCGTTTATTAATTAAAGAGCCAATTTACATGCTTCCCTTATGTTAAGGGACATAAGGACTTTAGTAACTTAGCTAAGTACTTAGTAACATGTACCATGAACGCACAAAATATATTTTCGACTGTAAACTGTATCATCTATGAATGGGAGGTTAGTCAAACTCCAATCTATAAATAATCCAATTATTATTAATGATAATTTAATTTCTGAATTAAAATTTGGTTCATTCAGCACCATTTTAGATATTGCTCCCATGATGGGTTTTTGTTCGCACACGTAGGCAATAACCTGCACATGTTAATGCTTCTTTTTCGGCGGGCGAAAATGTCTGGCGGAATTCAATTCTAATTCCCAAGATATAGGAAAAGTTCCATAGAAAATGGAAGCCATATAACGATTCTCAGTAATTTTGAAGCAGGCGCTAAATCTGCAAAAACCCATATTTTTTTTCTCTGCAATACTGTATTTAGACTGAGAACCTATTAATCGATCTGTAACTCTTTCCCACAAAGACTAGATCATCCTAAATCAGACACTATTGCTTTCCCTCTACTCCAGATGATTGTGTTTTGCGTGTGTGATTATGGCAAAGCCCGAGGGCTATCTGCCTAAGGGAAGGGATGCCTTCGTGGAGGACTTTCTAAGGGAAACTGGCTCTATACCGTTACACATGGGGAAAACCACGAAAAACGCCCATTGCAACCAGCCCGTTCGCGGGATTCGAACCTTGGACCGAACTACCAGTGTTCATCGACTTTTCCGCCCGGCCGCTGGTGGGCCCAGATGATTGAATACGTCTTTTTCATTCAAGTGTTAAAATAAAAAAATATTGGTTGTTTCCACTTCGAAATGAGACCTCTGATTAAACCAAATTGCACTTTTTGAAAAGTACCGAGAATTTGGTCCAGTTTAGAGTCATAGCTAAGTTTAGAATCTATATGCGTTTCGTCGAAACCGAGAACGCATATTTTTTCTACAGAGTTTAAATATTCATCATTTAAAAAAAGGCCAATTACCAACATATAAGAATTAAAAAAACTGAGGTCACCGAGCTGAATAACAAAGTGTGTGTGTATATATATATATATATATATATATATAATTTAAAGTTAAGTAGTAAGAACAAACGAAAAAAGACCTATGTGGTCACACACACACACACACACACACCCTCTTTGTTATATATATAAAATATATTCATATACTTTCGATACGGCCGAATTGCAACCAAAACGGAAGGTGCACAACTACATGATATAGCAGTCCTATATACAAATTTCAACATTCCGAGGCTACTCATTTTTGAGTTATGCGAGATACATACTTACATACATAGATATGTACACGTCACGAAAAAAATCTGTTCTGAATCCCTTTTAAATCAATTTTATAATCCGTTTGGGGAAAAAGAATTCTTTATTCTGTCCTTACGTAGAGATGCTATGCAAAAATATCGTTAAATTTCATTCGATAGCGGTCAAAATGGATATTTTCTTTGAAATATGACACCCGAAAATTTTCGTGATTACAATACTTCCTTTACTTCGCACAAGGAAGTAAAAAACTTTAAATTGCTATGATTTAGTTTAAGAATGAAAGAAATGAATTATTCAACATTACAGACGTACTAACAGATGTTTAACACCCAAAATTAATCTCAGAATTTCTGGAAATTTTCTCAATAATTTTAATATACCATTTTCACATTACTCTATTTAACTTAACATACTTTAATTTTTCCCTTCTTGTTTTTATTTACTTAAAACAAATATTTCACCCTTTGGTCCCCACACCACTCTGTTTAATTAGTAATAAGTTTATTGCTTTAAACTAATACTCTTGTTTCCTAAGAAATTTTAAAAGAAAAAAACTGTAAATGATTAAGCAAAAAATTGAAACAAAAAATATATAAAATTGTCGCGTATTCTAACCAATTACGAAAACGCAGATAAGCTAAATCCCCGGTTAAGTGTGTGATCCATTAATATAAAACTAAATCACTCTGATCCTTCTTCTTTAGGGAACGTTCCTATCCATTAAAACACGACGGGGATGACACCAGACGTTTTGTTATACAGGGTGATTCTAAATTACTTTCACAAATTAATAGGGGTGATAGTACTCATCCAGATGAGCAATAATTACCATAGAGCATAGGGTCGCATTCCACTCTGAGAGGCAGAAAAGAAGAATATTAGAATTCCAATCTGAACTTAACACATTGTTGGGAGTTCGAGTGTTCATTCGAGCTCAGATTTTGATGGCAAACACTCAAATGCACATTTTTGGTTGGCAAGGTCTCAACTTCGCAAACAATTGCAACAAGTTAATTGTGTAATCAAGGGCTGAATATTATCAGCTAACTCCAACGCCCGCTGCATGCCGAGATTAGCATGAAAAGCTCATGCTGAGTTCCGGCTGTCAGAACTTCGTATCCCATAGAAGGGTGCTTCAAGTAGAATGAGCGCAGCAGAGTAAGTCTAGGAAGCTAGGATAGAAGATGGCTAAGAGAAAAACAACTGCTAACTTGATACTTGATATCAAGGTAGTTTTCCCCTCTAATAGATAATTTCCCCCTAATAATTTAGATATTTTCCAACACTTGTAAGTTCAGATTGGAATTCTAATATTCTTCTTTTCTGCCTCTCAGAGTGGAATGTGTCTCTATGTTCTATGGTAATTATTGCTCATCTGGATGAGTACTATCACCTCTCTTAAACTGAAAAAGTAATTTAGAATCACTCTGTATTTTAATTCAAAATTATGTGCAATCTAAAGTAGAGCTGACAGTAGACTAATAGTAGTGGTAACGTAGACTAAGAAGAGGCGTAGAGTAACTTATAGCGTCTAAATCTGAATTTCTGCTGCAATTCATAAAATTCTAAGCTATTTTTATATTAATATTCATTATGAACTAGATTTTATTTTTAAGTGATGTATACTGATTAAAGCATATGATATAAAAGAAAGATTAAATTAAAATAAGAATCATAATTTAAAACACTTTTTCGTTAAACTACTAAACATAAATCAAACTCATTATTCCAGCTTTGAAATTCCTTATTCGATACGTCGTGTTCTTTGTCATAATCAAATAAACAAAACCAAGCCAAAACTTGTTCGATACGACGAGATTATACTATTCATTTCTATAAAACGTTACATTGAGTTAGTATTTCTGAAAAATCCGTAAAGTAAATATTTTTCTTTAGTACTTATAAATGAAAATTTAAAGAAATAACAATGTTCGTCATGGTAATATGAACAATAATTTTAACTCAACTTTCATTAATGTGAACGTTATAAAATATGTTTTATAATGTAATTACAATGAAATTTTACATATGATTGCTTGTCTTCTTTCTTTTATACTTCCGATTAATAACAATTTTCTGCAAAAATGTGGAATGAAATTTAGCTTTTTATATTTCTAATAAAATGAAGTTTAAACTAAGTTCAAATTTTCTAATAAAATTAAGTTCCAAATTAAGTTAAAATCAAAAACCGTTCCTCAAAAAAAAAAAAAAAAAAAGATCTATTTTTAAAGGCAATCTATTTCAAGCATATAGACATAATAAGTAACTTATATTATCTTCAATGCATTGGGTTAATCAATAATGTTGATAATTACGGAGAAATAACAAATTGTGTTTGATAGAAAGCTAGAAAATAAGCTTCGGTAACTAACTACATTTATAGTTTTGCTGGTTACATTGGCACTACTAGTTATAGTTTTGCTGTTTTTCATTTCAAGATCTTATAATGTAATGTTTGTTATTCAGTATGAGAATATCAACTTATATTACTAACAGATAACTTATATTACTAATAGCAGTATAATAATAATAACGGCAAATTTTATTATGCATTCAAATAAAGATTTTCACGTTCTAAAGTAACAAACTTCAGTTTTCCCTTACAATCATAAAATCGTATTGTTAAAAAGAATAAGTTTCCGAAATTCAAGTTAGTTTCATCATAAAAAAGGAATACAAGAGGGAATAAAACTGTATCTTAAACAAGAAACCCTTTAAAATTTTATCATTTTAAAAGGTTTTCATGATGTACTTTCCAATTTCACTTTATCTAATTTTTATATTTATTTATGTATCTAATTTTTATACTTTGATGTACACTGGGGGGGGGGAATGAGACAGTTCTATATCTCCCGTTCTGCTGGGCCAATTGACGAAATTCAAATTGCGTTTGTCATACCTCGAAAGCGCCACTTAATGATATATATTAGATTTATATGTAGCATTGTTCTAATATAGGTATTTTGACACAAAAATAGGACTTTTTCTGAAATGACATGCCAATGTTTTTTTAATATTTCGATTTTACGACTCAAACTATGCCTGAATATTAAATTTTGTAAAATTTGGCGAAATTTACGGAGAAATTAAAAAATTTATCTTGGCGTAATTTTTTCATTTTTCGTCAAATATAATTTATTTGGTGAACTTCTTAATTTATGGCAACCTATTTTCCTTTTCTTTTTTCCATTGTAGACGAGCTAGAGAAAAGTCATCGTTCATACTTTCAAATAATTTTAACAAAGTGCGTATTATGGTTTGCCGTTATTACCGCTCAAAAAAATGATGCCAAATTTCAAAACGCTCCAGTGTGTAAATTCATGTATAACTTAGAAAATTTTGAATTAAAAACTCTAATTTTTTGCAGGTGTGCCTAGAAATACATCTACTTTAAGATGATTTTACAGGTTATAATACAAAAAGTTTTCCAAAAAATTTCTAAAAAATAATTAAAAATACAAATTAAAAACTAATCATAAAAAATACGCAAATTATATTTGGAATAAGAGACTAAATTTCGAATTCTGGAAGAAGGAATCAAGTAAGTTTGGTCAAAAAAGAGATATTAATAAGTATATATCAAATTCAGTTAATACTGAGGAGCTAAGATTTTGAGAGCAAATTTTTTAAAAACTATTCGTGCGATTTTAACAAAACTTGGCACATTGGCATAATTTCAGTCGTAGAATCGAAATAGGAAAAACACCTGACATGTCATTTCAGAAAAAGTATAATTTTGTGTCAAAATACCATATAAAATGCTACATATAAGTCTAATATATATCCCAAGTCGCGCTTTCGAGACATGAAAAACGCAATTTGAATTTCGTCAATCGACCCAGTAGAACGGGAGATATAGAACTGTCCTTTTTTTGCACAGTGTATGTTCTCTGCTTGAATAATTATTAATAAGTTTAAGAACATTTCAAGTTAATTTAATAATACATTAGAGATTTTGTGAAATAAAGATAAATTTACTCTTTCCTAAAGTGCTTATTCTTAAAACTCTAGAAGACTGTATAACATTTATTGCAGTTTTCATCCCACATTATTATATTAACATTTATTGCAGTTTTCATCCCACATTAATTATATTAACATTTTCAATGGTACACAAAATTTATGCTGAGATTTCTTAACATTTAAATAAATTATCAGAATATTATTTATTTATTTAAACGGAAAGCATGGATACCCCATGGAGGACGTTTTAAAGGAAACAGACTCTTCACGTTACACACGAGGAAAAACACGTAAACGTTCAGGCAACTAGCCGGTTCGAACTGGTAGTTCGGTTCTAGACTCGAACACCGACCGAACTTACCAGCATTCAGCGACTTTTGTCGTTCGACCGTTGGTGGACTCAATTACAGCAATGAGCTGATTTTACTTTTATCTTACAAAAATAAATGAATAACTAAATAAACAAATAAAGAAAGAAAAAGAAAAAAAATATTAATTTTAATTTTTTTCTTTGACAGACAAGTCAGGAGTATGCTAATCTGTGGAAGAGAATGCAGAATAATTCAATTATATTTTCCGCAAAGACGGTGGATGAGACATTGCTTAAAGTTGAAAAAGGCACTCATGTACTGATCGTTGATTATATCTATGCTTTGAATATTGCTTCTAATTGGGTAAAAAGAACTGGCCGATGCAAAGTGCAAGTAGAGGAAGTTTTGTTCTGCCAGAACTTCATAGCCTTAGCGCTTAGAAAAGGATTTAATGAGAAAGATATGAAACGAATTAACCTCAGGTATGTATGTACACAGAAGCAACTTTCTTCATTTAAGGGAAGTTCAGATTAACACAGTTAAATCCACAGGTAACAGTAAAAGAGGTATAACGCAACTATAATTTATGATAGCAACTATTTTATAGTATGCTCAACTATAATTTATGATAATAATTTAGCATATATATTTTATTAACTTAATACTCTTTTCTCTTTCACAAAGTACATCAATAATATTTTCCTTTATGTTTTCCTTCTGTTACATATAATTAAGAATAAAATACTCCATTTAAAACGATTTATGACAATTACAGCAGATAAAGAAAGACACCACAAGACATCCTTGCATGAAATATTAAATTATACGCAACTTTTGCTGAATTTCATTTAAACTTACTTCCTCGAATTTCATTCGAGATGGATTTCTCATTCAATTAATTCAGTTGTCACTTCGGGGTAAGGCAAAAAATGCATAAAATCTCAAAATATTTTCATTAAAAATTGAAAAATACAGAAAATATAAAACAAATACAGTTAAAACTATTAAAAACAATTTTTGCAATTAAAATTAGAGTTTTTACGCAAAAACAAGCAATTCGAACAGCCTGCCCACAAGGCAGATTTTTAGGGGCATAAAACTGAAAGTTTACATTTGGCCCCACTCTGCAAAAGAACATTGAAGGTGCAGAAACTGACTTAATTCACTATTAACTAAGGGCATAAAAACTTTAACCGGAGGATAAGAACAACATAATTCAATAGTTTTTAAAGCAAAATTGCACAATTTACAAACATATAAGAATAATAATTAAAAAAAAAACTGAACTCACGGAGCCGGGTAATAGATTAGGTATGTATACTACCGTGAAAGACCGAAATTGGAGAATGTCGACTTTCACCGGAGAATGTCAACATTCACCAAATATGTCGGTGAAAGATCGAATATTGCATTACATTCTTGTACATTCGGACCCTCACCGGTGTATGTCGACAATCAAGAGATATGCTCTGGTGTAGATCGAAAAGAGAGGTCATAAAGTGTCATAATAGTTTAAGTTGTTGCAAAATAAATAAGATTTGATCAAATATTTGTACGTATTTATTTACTGTTACTTTATTTTGTCATTTAGAACGTCTGTATAATTAAGTAAGTTTTTAACTTCTATTATTTTCCTTTCTCATTTTTGAATGTCTTGTGTGTTTTAGTTCTTATTTTTCTTAAGTTCTTATTTAAGTCTCGAGTGCGTTTTTTCGTGACCGAATTACGGAGAAGAAAATATAATATTGTTATATGTTCAACATTCACCATAGTACATAGTGAATGTCGACATTGACCGGTGTAAGTCAGAAATAAGAGTATTTGGAAAGTATTTCGGACATACACCAAGCGACTATGTGAATGTTGACATTCACCGGTGAAAGTTGACATTCTCCAATTTCGGTCTTTCACAGTAACATATATATACCAAAAAGGGAGATGTAAAACTACATGTTATAGCAATTCTGAATACAAAATTTCAACGTTTTGAGGCTACTTATTTTTGAGTTATGCGAGATACGTACCTACGTATGTATGTTCAGACATCACTAAGAAATCTATTCTGAATACAATTTAAATCCTTTTCGCAATCCTTTTGGAAAATAGTCATTTATTCTGTCTTTAAGTACAGATGTCACGCCATAACATCGTTAAATTGCATTCGATAGCAGTAAAAATGGATATTTTCGTTGAAATATGATATCCGGAATTTTCCGTGATTAGAATACTTCCTTTACTTCGTACAAGGAAGTAAAAAAGAGCTTGAAGGAAACATCATGACATTAAATCTGTAAAATATGCTTGAAATTAAAAGCATGATTGCTTTAAAATTAAGGTATCATTATTTCACCAACATCGCTGTCAAGACCGAATTATCAACCCGCACTATTCAATTTAAATTGAGATACACATTAGGATTGCTAGCTGACAGCCTTTTAGCTATTTCACTTGAAACTTTCATATCACCAGCAGAATTGAGATAAGATACAGAATCCAAAGACAAAATTCATTACTAACGTAAGATGAAATTTCATTAGATAACAGACGAATTAAGCAATGAGACATCCAAACTCAATTTTGAGTGCAATGCGAAAGTGTAGTATGCAAAGTAAAATACATAAAAATCATGTTTTAGTCATCTGCTTTTAATTAAATCTACTAAAATGTAAAAATATAACTTTATGCTGTCATAATATCATTGATCATATGGTATAAATTTGCGTTATTTCTCTAAACTAGCAAAAAATCTGAGGTAACCGTAATAGGCTAGGCTTGGCTAGGATAAAACAGCAATTTGGTTAATATAAGTCAAAAATATCACAAATAAAAGTTTAAACGAAAATAAAATTAATAACATGCCAACGTGACAATTGCACAAACTGAAGAACATTAATAGGAACAGAACTCGGCTGACTTGGAGGTGAACAATCATAAGTTCTGACTGAATCAAACGTAGAGTAGAAAATCAGCAAATCCAGCCTAAGCATTGGCTTATTCTTCACTAACTGCTCCCACAAGTGAAAGCAGGTCCAGACACCAGGGCGGCTTGCATAGACTAATTGGGTATCTTCCGGATCCCGCAACTATCTAGAACTACACTTCCAAATCAAGACAGTACATGGCCATACAAGGACAAAGTGTTTTTCTGTATGTGGAATTAAACATTCTCCTGGTTACATCGCATGTTAACACACTGCTACACATACTCGTAACAGTATACATTTTATTAATATGCACTGCATTGATCATTGCACTGTACTTAAGGCACATTTGCCAAACTCATTGCTACACTTAATACACTATAGTACATTCTATGCTACATATTATGCTGAACAATTCAACATAGGACAACTCTTTACAATTCAACATAGATTCTGAATAATGCAATCGATTAATAATAAGACATAACTTGACTATATATACGTAACTTGGTTATACAAGACATATTTTTGATACAACAGGCTTAAGTAAAGAACAAAATTGCACATAACAAAGAAGTTACACACAGAATTACACGTTGGTTACTTTATGCTGTACTTGTAACATACAAAATACAGATAACATATTTGAGGACACAGTACAGGCCATACTGCTTTTGATTAAATAACGTTATGCTAAAAGTTCACCTGTTGCATAAATTTGGATGTACGACTGCCTTCACAAGTGGACCTAGCCTAAAGCCTTCTCCCGGCCAAGTGTACCTAGCCAAAGCGCCTTGACTCATCTCTCTAGACATGAGACACATGTAGCGCATGCTCATATATTTTAAACTGGGAAAAAGAATTGTTATTTTTTTAACTCAAAAGTATAAATAAAATCTTTTTTAATTGTTTTAAATATACAGCTTTGTTTTGAATCATCTATTTTATTTGGAATCAGCAATTTAAAACATGAGAAGTTACTGGATATCGTATTTCCCTGTTTCTGCTTTCGCATGCTGTCAAAATACTAGTGTCTGCAACGGAATAATGTATTTTACACGAGCAAAAGGAAAAAAATCACACTCTTTTTTCTTCTACTACGTCAAAAGATTTCCCTCAATCAACATGCGGTTTCGTTTTATCGCATAAGCTGGAAGAAAATGAGAATTCGCTATTTACGCTCCAAGTTTGGAATTATTTACTATGTTTTAGATTTATTATTAAATGGATTTGCTAAGTAAAATGATTTTAAGCACGAAAAAAAAAACATTTTTGTCAACTTTCTTTTAATTTAACTTATTTAAAGAAAAATTTAACAATTAAAATATCTTTCTTCTCCTATAATTTTCAGTGATTATAATCAATTTTATTGTATTTATTAGAATGTTCTTAATAACTTTAAGAATCGATTTTGTGATTAATGAATTAGTTTCTAAGAAAAAATAAAAAGTATACTTAGATGTAAAACTTTGAAAAAAATGTGATCTTAGTTACATTTTTAATTCCAATAATATTTCCTTTCAATGTTTTGCAAAATCCATCCTTATTTCTATTATCTAATAGAAATTAATAATATTATAATAAAGAAGCAGTAGTAAAAATTATAATTTAGTCCTTATCTAGGCTTAGGACTTTGAGTTTTAGTAAGTTTTAGGACTCTGAGTAAAAACTATTTTTCGAAAAAAATGCAAACTAAGAAAACGCAATTTAAAGAATGAAAACTGTCTACAGAGTTATTAAATTATTTCAAATTTCTTAAATGTTTTCCTTACTGAGTTCCTGTACCATATGTATCTAAAACAGAACCTAGTAATATTCAGTTGATGAATATAAGCATAAATCAAAAGCTGTTATTTGAAACCTTATCTGATCTGAAATATTGCGAGCAAAATTTTCGCAAAAATAAAAAAAAAATAATAATAATAATAAGTCTTATTAAATATATTTAACGCTATTACTGCGAATTATTTGAATGCTCTTTCTCTTGAGATTTAAAATAAACTTGTACGTAAATTCATACTATGTGTAAATACCAGCAATATTCTTAACATGATAAGTTAAATTTAAAAGATTGGGTTGCTGATTTTCTCAATATCAGCATGAAATATATAAGCGAGCTGGGCAGAAAATGCAATATCTCGTTTTCATTTTGAAAATATATCTTTGGGATACTGTATTTTCGTCAAAATACGTATGTGAGAAAAATTTCAGAGAACCCAGGTTCATAAGAAAGGGATTTAAAATTCATCTCAAAAGGGGCAGAAAACAAATTACATAAAATCATTAGAAATTCCATAAAACAGTCACTTGGAGTGCTATGTATTTCTAGACTATCTGATGGTATAAAGCTCATAATTCTAAGATGATCAATTTGGCCGTTAAACAAGAAATAGTGAAGAGAGATTTAGTACATAAAAAATATCTGTAATGAGTTTTGAAAATACTCTTTTTTTTTTTCACTGCAAATTCATTTGTGTGAAAATATCAAGAAAATAGTGTCGACAGAAGGGGATCAAAAATTAGTTTCAATATTTTTCAAAAATTAGTTTCATTGTAGAATT